AATATGATATTAATTCAGTATGAAGATGTGTTCTTTTATTATCAATAAATTTTGTAAGAATATACTAGCCAATTCACCATACTATATGATGTTATGTAAATTATATTGTTTTTTATATTTGATCAACCAGCCATCACTTTCTTTAAAATTCTTTATTCTCAAATGATCTGTATAAATATGAACTTTAGTAATGATAGCTTTTTCTATTAGTGAAAGATTATTTTTAATTATTATTATCATTCATAATCATAATACTTGTTCTAAGTTTAGTCATTTTGAGAGTTTATTTTTCAGACAGTATATAAATATCTTATTAATATCAATAGTCAATCATTTTTTTAATTGAAAAATAATATCTTATATTATTGATTTTCCTATTCTATACTTATTTATCAGATTATGATAGGATATATTAGAATTATCTCTTTGATATTGATATATTTTCTTCTTTTATATAACAGTTAAATGAATATATGATTTGAAATATTTTTTAGTGGTATCACTTCTGTAATAATTTATCAAACTCATTTATAATTTGAACAGTTGAATTTTATTAAGAATTTGAATTAAAGGGAGTAAATTTGAATAAGTATCCAAATTAATATTAGAATAATCTTACTATATTAAAAATTCTAGTTTATTATACATAAAAATAATAGTTAATAACTGAATTAAAGCTGTCTTTTACAATACTTAATTTATATAATTAATCCGCAATAGTTATCCAAACTGAATTATCATAATATCATAAGTATTAGATAAATAAAAGAAAGGAATTAGATATGAAAAAAAGAGTTTGGTATTAAATATCTAGATTATTGAAAATCTGAATTAAAGAAGAATGAATTAATGAAAGTTGATTATATTACAAACTAAATTAATTTAATATAAAATAGATTTATAAGAATTAAATTATTATTTTATTTTATTATTAATAAAAAACTATCTTTTAACTTTATTAATTCATTCTTTAATTATTTTGAGTTTTGCTTAAAAAAGTTTGTAAGTTTTAATTATAATTTATTTAGCAAAATTATTATAATATTCATAATTAGAAATATAAAAATATTTTTAATACTAGTATTTTTTATTAAATTCTTTTTAATTAAAAAATTATTTATTATTTTATTTATATTCTTATAAAAATTTTTCTTTAAATTATTTATTATTATTTCAAATAAATTTCTTTTATTTGACTTTAATTTTTTTTAATAAGCTTGTATTTCATAAATCTTTTTAATATTATAAATAATTTGAAATAATATTTCTCTAAAATTAATATTATATAAATTTTATTTATAAATTTTAATAAAAGTTTAAATTTCTTTAGTAATAATTTTAATATTATTATCATTTTAAATTTTTTATTATTTAAATATTATAATATTTTAATTATTATATTAGTATATAAGAAATATTTTCTTTTTCAAATATTATTCTTCATATTTATTTTCAAAGTCTTCTTTAACTTATTTTTTTTAGAGCTTGATTTATTAAATATAGAATTTTCTCAATTATTATAAATAAATTTGATTAATATTTTTTTTATTATTATATTTGAAAATAAAAAGTTCTTTTTTAATATTAATATTAGTTTTGATTTTATTCAAGAAATTTATTTTTATAATTACTAAATATATTTTAGCTTTAATAATATTTACTATTATTAAAATTATAATTTTATTAATATTTAAAAATAAATTATTAATAACTTTAAGAAATTATTTAATATTTTATTTATATTAAATATAAAGATATTTAAACTTTATTAAATTTTTAGTTCTATATTTTTAATGAAAATATGAAAAATAATATAATTTAAAATATTAGTATCAATAATTAGATTAATTATATTCTTTTTAATTTTGACTTTATATTATATAGATACTATTTTAAGTTTTTATTTAAGTATTACTTTTCTTTTTTATTTAAATTTAAATATTATAACTTAATATATTCCTTTTAATAATTAAGTTTTTTATAATAATAAGATCTAAATAAGTTAAATTATAATTATATTTACTTTTTATTAAGCTAAATCTTTAAAAATATTATAAGATTTAGTTATAATAATAAGTATTAATAAAATAATTTTATCTTTTTTTTTGTAAATAGTTTTCTTATTAAGTTCTTTATCAAGTATTTTTAATAATCTAATATTATTTATTTCTTGATTATTAATAATTTCAAGAAAAACATCCTATTTTTCTTTAATAATATTTGATTCTTTATTCTTCTTAATAGTTTTTTTAAATCAATTTATAAATCTAATTCTATAAGAAGTAGCTCTTGAATTTTTAGTTTTTTTATTAATAATTAAGTATCTATATATATCAAATAAAAAATTTATATTTATTTGATTAAGTAATTAATATCTGAATATTATTAGTCAAATCTCTCTTCGATAGAATACCAAATTTCTAATGCTAACTTGTCTAAGTTATCTTATTAACTTGTTGATGCACCAAATATCTCTTTGATAGAATTCCCAATTTCTTAAGTTGACTTTACTGAATCTTCTAAATCAGAATTATCCCATATCTTTTTGATAGAATATCTATAAACACAAAATTTTAACGTTAACTTGTCTTACTCAAAAGAATAAATTTTATAAGATACTGAATTGTATGCATATGCTAATTTGAACTAATAATACTATTTGATTATTATTTATATTTTGATTATTTTTAAAATTTAATTAATTAGAAATAAGTTATTTTATGACTATCATATATTGAGTCTTCTCTTTAGAATTGTGTAAAAAATCTGAATATCGGAGGGATATGAGGTTCTGTTGAAAATAAGATTGTAGCGATCCGCTGATAATCAGGTAATCGAGTTGCTTATTTAAAAAATCATCAATATCGATAACTCTCTTCGCAATATCGATATGATGTTCTATAAAGATTGATGACGATACTTCGAAACTTGTGTCGACTAAATTATTTCCCTTAAATTTCGATTATTTACCTTTAGGCCGATTTGTTGGTATATTATCCCAACATTTTTATAAAATTTGTTATATTCATGAGGAGTCCCAAATATTGTCATTTCTTTCTCACGAATATCCATAATTCGAATTTCAACGCTAAATACATCTAATCTGTCTCGTATAAAATTAGCTTTTATAAAAGCTGGATTAACATAGCTTAAAATTCCATGAATGGTTTTCGAATTGAAGTCATTACCTGAGAGTTTGAATAACCCAAGCCTGCGATTTTGTTTTCTCATTATGTACAAGGATATTATTATAGTTCTTTGAGAAGATAAATAAATTAAAATATTACTCAAATTAAAGGAAATGAGTAAGATTCTTACTAAATCTCAATGAATGATACTTTCGTCGTGTATACAATTTACCTCTTTTGAAAATTGCCTGGCTAAAGACAGCTTGTCAATATCTTTCAAACTTCTAAAATTACTGGGATTTTAGTAAACTACATAATATTTATTCATATATTTCCATATGAATCAAGCTATGGGATAAAATTTACTTTTATTAATTCCATAAAAATCAATAATTTTTGAATAATAATGAAACTTGGGTAAAGAATTTTACTAGTTTTGTATACATAGTTTTATGATATTTCTATCTGTAGTTTGATTATCAGATAAAGCAATAATTTATTTTCTTAATGAATTCTTTTTGGTTTCTTTCATAATTTTGGTTAAAGCTAACACCATCAAGTCACCGTCTACATTTACTCCACATACTTTGGCAAAAATATCCATCGCAAATTGCTTCTTTATTTTTAAAAACATTAAACTTAAAGTATGTGACAAAGTTTGCTAATTTCTATCCATGACTCCAAGAAGATGAGGAGTGTTTCGATTTTATTTTAATCGTTATTACACATGTTACCGTTACAGTACATGTATGCATTATCAGGTGGGATACTTTACGGTTTACTATACATGTAATAAAATTTCAAAGAAATAAATATTTGCTGTGATTTTTTCATATTAATTTAAAGATCATTATGATGGTCCAATTAAAAAAAAATTTAAAAAATTCGACAATTTTCGGACGCGATATCTTGACAGCCAACGGTTCAGTTTGAACAAAAATAGATGCATTAGATTCGTCTAGTTTAGTTGAACCTGATAGTTCTATTATTGTCCAAATTGGACCGTTGGATGTCGAGATATCGCGTCTCAAAGTTACAGAATTTTTAAATTTGGTCATCCGATTCTTTAAATTTAATTTTTCAATAGATTCTTTTGATCATTTTTATAATGTAAATTGTAAAAAAACCATATCATTATTATGCAGCAGAATTTGCAGAAAACTGGATCACTCTAGTCCAAGATTAGTTTATAAACACGTGCACATTTTGATTGGATAATAAAAGACGGATTTTTAAAGATGATGGAATTGAAACAATAGTAAAAAATTACTTTATCTAAACATTTTGAATATCAACAAATAGCAATTGAAAATGAGATTAAATATTTCATAAAATCTTGCTCTTCTTATTAATTTGTTGAAAATTAACAATTAAAAGAATCTTTATATTCAATCAAAGTTAATATATTAACACATGTAGTCAAGTTTTCTTTGCTTTATAGTTTGCATGCATATGTATTACGTACATGAAATTACATGTAATATCAGAAACAAATACTTCTGGCTATTTTTTTTATTTTTTACAGATATACGGTACATGTAATAATAATTTTGCATGTACAGCATATTTATTTGTTGCATTGAAAATTTCGATGCATCGATAATAAGGAACATTAGTAAAAATGAATATTATTAAAATCGGGAAGTGATATCGATAAATCAAAGTACATGTATATCGTAAATTTGAAGATTAAATCACGCAATTATACATTACTTATTTTATTAACTTACGTCATTACAACATTTTAATTCGTTTGAAACACGTGTGTAATGTGTAACTATGCTTCATGCATTTACCGATCCCTAAATAAGTACTTAGCGTTGGGTTATCAAATAACACTAATATTTCTCTGATTTCTTTGAAAAAAATACAATGAGTAACCTAATACCAGACATTCTCCACCAAATCTTTGAAAACATAATCGGTACATATTCTTTCACTTTCGGTCGTCCAAAATACAAGCTTTTGTATCCGTGTATTCTCGTGAACAGAACCTGGTGTCAGACAGCCATTCCAATTCTCTATCGAGAACCGTTTATCCGTAGAAATAAAAACGGTTATAAATTAATATCGACATTTTTGAAGCTTATAAATGATGAAAAACGAGCGTTACTTTATGAGAATGATCAGCGCGATGTTATATTTGATGGGATTATGCAATGCCAAAGACCATTATTTGATTATTCGAGTTATATGTATAATTTACATTATGATGCAATGCTGAAAAATATTGATGAATGGTGTCAATTAAAAGCTTCGTCAACCACAAAAACGCTTAATTCTGAAAAACAACGAAAGATGATAAGTTCGACCAAAAATATTTTTTCGCATCTCTTTCAAAAACAGTCGAAATCTAAATCAGAGTCAATAGAAAATATGGGTGCTGATAAAGATTCTCATGGCCTGCAATGTGCAATCGTGGATGCATTGTTAACGTTGTTTATAGAGCATTTTGTCAGATTATCGAAACTTCGTGTCAATTTTTATGACCAAGAGAATTACGTGAAAAATATGCTGTTGGTGCAAAATATAAAGTTACTATCTATGATTAAAGAAATTTATTTAACTGTCGGATTACATAATAACAAGTTTTTTATCAGTCTGGCAGAGTGCTGTCAAACTTTGGTAAAATTTATTTGTTACTCTTAAGTATGAATTTTTTATCTGTACCAATCTAATATTTATTTTCTAATATAGGAACTCATTTTAATAGAATTTGGAACAACAGACATAACAGGCGAGAGCATCTCTACATTAATTCAAGCACAGAAAAAACTCTGCTCAATAACCACAATCGGGATGACGAATCCATGCAGTAACCAATTGATATCGTCGCTCGCCTCGCAGTCGTCTTCACTAAAACGTGCCGAATTTATAGGGGCAGATTTCTCGAAGTCTACACCATGGCATGGTCTCGCTTCATGCACAAAATTGAATACGCTGACAATTTCGCATTGTCAGAATATTGATGATGAAATGGCCCAGCCGTTGTTTGATGCGAAATTTGAGTGTTTGAGTGATGTTACGATCACTAGTGATTCGTGTGTGAAATTGAGTGAATGGGTTCAGAAATTCAATAGTAGTCCAAGTCAGAGTTATTAAATATTCAAATTGTTGAATATTCGAATTATTAAATATTCAAATTATTGAATTTATTCGAATTCAGTTTCAGATTCAGTTTAATTCGAATTTAACAAATAAATTCGATTCCAATCTCTAGCTTGATACCGTGCATTTAGAAAACATTGCATTTATGGCTGGTGCATTAAAAAAGATGTTGCATTTAGCGAAGTTGCATTTAGTGCGGTCTGTCTGTATATTCTGATATCTTACATAAATTTCGTGACTGAGATTAGTGTTGTTGTATTTTGCAGTATACCGCGAAGATAAAGTATCAATGCTTAGTTTCAAATTCGTATTTTATATACTGACTGAAATTTATTAATACATGTAACTACTCTAATGATATCTCAAAAAACTCTCTGTATCTTGATTAATGATTTTAATGATTGAATTAGGCATATATATAAAAATTATTTAATTAAAAACCAAATGAATTAATATAAAAAATCATAGATTATTATTATTATAAAATTGAAATATTAACAAAAATTGCTTAGTTCAGTGTGTAATAAACACCGCATCAATTAAGGGATCGACGAGTGCATATAGTTTGGTTACACTTATGTATTTCTTAGTAAAAATAGCAAAAAACAAAATTTTCGCTCTTATTATAACATTAACATTATATGGTATTACTTAAAATTGAATTTCAAGATTTTTACTTTTCGTTTGTCTAATTATCATTGTTATAATAGCAATATTTTTAAAAGAATCTTTTCACAAAGTAGTCAACTTTCATTAATCTGAATGATTATATTGGCTAAAGATCTATATTCAGATCCAATAACCAATTCTCTAGAATTTAAAAATTAATTTTGTTCTTCAAAAGTGATTAATAGTTTGTGATAAATATCATATGTAAATTAATTCTCATGTATTATCATTGTTGCTGCATTTTCATAATTTGTATTTGAAAATCAATAATTAATCAATTTTTTGAAATTGATTTTGCATTAAGATTCTATCTATAATATATAATCTATAGCTTTATTTTTTATATCTGCTACTTTATTATTATATATTAATATATTTTATGTTCAGAGTAAATTTCACATCATGATGCAACAGCAGTGATGAATTTATGCAGGTATTATAATATTACTTAATAATTTAAACAATATTTAATTTCAACTTTGAAGAATTGAATTGGGATGGAAAATTAAAAGATTTATCTTCTTGCATAATCTATTATTATTTGCTATCAAGCATTTATAGCTGGTTTTTAATACTGATAATAATAATATAAATATACTTTAGAAATCTGAATTTATTTTGAATTTATTCAAATTACATATTTTTACTTTATTTATTAAAAATAATATTCTTTTAAGAATTTCTAGATAAAAAAGTTTGAAATTTAATATTTATAACTTATCTTAATATATTATAATCTTGTTGTAATTCATCTTATTTCTTATTCCAATTATTATAATAATAATTTCTAAGTTATTTTTTATTTCAAGTAGGAATTTTTTTCTGAATTTTGTTAATAATTTGATTATTTAATTAAGAATATAGTAAAGATTAATTTAAAATTTCTTTTTCTTGATTATAGTTTATTATCAAGTTTTATTCAATGTCTTAGATAATAAATTTTTTATTATTTTTTAATATTTTGATTTATCTTTCTTTTTATATCTTTACTTTTTTTATTACTTTTTTTTTTAGGATCATTATATTTATATTTTATAATTTTTTATTTGTATTATTTCTTAGTAATTTAATTTTCAAGTTTATAAATATCTTGATATAAAATAACTTATATTTTTTAAATTTTATTATTATAAAGATTAAAAAAATATTAAAATTCTTCTTCCATTAATTCTTAAGCAGTAAAAATAAATAAAGATCCTTAGGATTTCTTATTTCAAATACTAATATTAAATCTATTAAAATTTTTCATATTTTTTCATTTCTTATTTGAATTGAATAATTTTTATGACTTTCAAAATAATCATTAATAAATTCTGGTCAATAAGCAATCATACCATTAGACATTGAATTAAAAGACTTTGAGAATCTTACTTTTGAAGAAGCTCTTATCAAAAGAACACAACTAATTATAATATTTTGAAATAATTATTTAAAATCCAATAAAGTTACTCTACTAAAATAAACTAATAGATCATAATGAGTATCAAGATTTATTATATTAGTAATTTTTAATATATTTTCTTTTACAAATTTTATTTCTAATATTTTCAAGACTTCATCAAATATATAATAATATTTATTATAAGAAATATTAACTGAATATGCTAATTAAAATAAAAATTATAATTTTGTATTATCATATAATTATATAAAAAAATAAATAATAAATTCTATATATTGATTTTTTTTAGATATAGAAAAAAGTAATAAAAAAACTTTTAATATTTTAAATTATTAATTATAATTTTTATTTTATATTTTAATTTTGTAAGTTATTTATAAAATTATTTAAATAAAATAAAGATATTAGACTTTGACTAAATTATTATTATAATTTATTATTTTTGATATAGAATTTAATATTATATATATATAGATTATATAATCTATAACAGTTTATAAAAGTTCTAAAACTTGATAAGTTAATTAATAGTTAGTAATTATTTTTAACTTATCTAAATATTGAACTTTAAATATATTAGTTAAATTAAGAATATTATAATCTAAAAAAATTATTAATATAGATTATATATATTTTTATTATTATTCAAGTAAATTGCAAATTCTTTTTCTTTATATTATATTACTCTTCAAAATATAGTTTTATCTAATGAAATATTATTTATAATAGTTCAATATCATTTTATACTTCTTTAATAATAAAATATATTTCTATTTATTATTAGTAATTCATCTATTTCAAGTATAATAATATTAAGAAATTTATATTAATATTCTTTCTTAACTTGATTTGTAATTTTTTATATATATTATAAATATTAAAATTAGTATTAAAATTATTATTAAATATATTATTAAAAAGAAAATTTTAAAAATATTATGTAAAATAATATAATATTTTTGAAAATTTAAATTTAATTATTTATTTATTATAAATTTGAATTTTTTAATTTGTAAATATTATAATGAGTATAAATAAATTATATTTAAAAATTATCTATAATATAATATATAAAGATTAATAGATAATATTATAAATATTTTCAAATATAAATAATTTTGCTCTAATATCAATATTATTAATTATAATAATATTTCAAATATTAAATCTAACTTATATTTAATTAAAAGAATTTATTACTTTTTTTTGTAAATTTTTCAAATAATATTTCTATATTGATTAGTATAAGATATTATATTAACTTCTTTTAAAAAATTATAAACTAAAAAAAAAATTAGATTTTTGATATAAACTAATTATTATATAAGTAATTCAAATATTTATACTTTTAAATATTATATTTAAAATAATTAATAATATAAAGATTATTTTTTTAATCTTTACTAAATTAATTAATTTATATTTTTTTCTTTATTATTTTATTTTGTAAATAGCTAAAAGATTTTATTTATTTTCTAAATTTATTATAAATATATTAAAGAAAATATAAGTAATCTTGAAATTATTAAAAAATATTGATCTAATATTTTTGTACTTTCTAATAATATTGTTACGGCGAATCGGTAAGTGGGTTTTCACTTTGATTCACCCTAACGATATAGGGTTGGGAGAGACTGA